GGGGGTGGTCACATTGGCATGACCCCCCCTCTCCCCCAGCATGCCGGGGCCCTGCTGGCTTGGGAGATCCTTGAGGTGCCATGAGGAGTCGGTCCCTTTCGCCACAGGGGTGCCAGGGCAGCTGTGTGCCCCCCCTCCAGCACCCCTTGACCTGTGCCCCCCTCTACCCCTCCAGATCATGCACGGGGGGCTCTTCAGCGAGGATGGGGTGACGCTGGACGACATCCGGAAGATTGAGAGGAACAGGCAGCCCCCAGACTCAGGTGGGCACCAGGGGTGGGGGTCCCAGCCCTTGCCCAGCCTGGAGGATTGTGGGAGATGGGGGCATCTGGTTCCGGGGAGGAGCAGGCTTGATCTCTGGCTCTGCTCTGTGGCCCCTTTTGGGCAGACCTGGGGGGTCCAGGACCTGCCCAAATGGGGTGGGGCAGGGACAGGCCACAGAGCTATTTGACCTCAGTTCCCAGCCCCCTCCCATCCTCCCGAGGGGGCGGCGTGGTCCTGCACCCCACCGAGGCTGGCGGGGGTGAGGGGGGCGGTTGAGGGTGGCCCAGGGCCTGACTGCCCCCTCGCTTCTTGCCAGGCCCCATGTGTGACCTGCTGTGGTCTGACCCCCAGCCCCAGGTGAGTGCCCCCCACAATGCCCTGCCCCTGCTGCCGCTGGGTGAGGGGCCGGCATGGTTCAACCCCCGCCATCTCCCAGAGGCTACTGATGCTGGGGTGGAACAACAGAAGGGGGGGTCCCCTCCTTGCCCGGCCCCTGGCAGCTGACATACGTCTGAGGGGGCTCAGCTCAGCTCCACCCCTCTCCAGGGCTCCCAGCAGCTCCAGTTGCAGGGCACTGGGGAGCCTCCATCGGTGTCCCCGGCCCCGTTCCAGCTCCCTCGGAGCGGGGCATCGGAGGGTCCCCATCACACCTTACCCCTTGACCATCCCTGGGATGCAGGAAAGGCCTCCCCAGATCTGTTGGGCTCTCACACTTGGCATCAGAGCGGCTGGGCCTGGAGGTTTGTGGGGAGGGCAGATGCGTACCAGGCGCTTCTACGTAGCATGGAGATGACAGCGGGTCCCCCCGTGATGGGGTTGGCCCAGGGGCTGTGGGCAGGCGGGGGGTGACGGTACCGTTCTCCCCCAGAACGGGCGGTCGGTGAGCAAGCGCGGCGTGAGCTGCCAGTTTGGGCCAGACGTGACGCAGCGCTTCCTGGAGCGCAACCGGCTGGACTACGTCATCCGCAGCCACGAGGTGAAGCCTGAGGGCTATGAGGTGGCCCACGACGGCAAGTGCATCACTGTCTTCTCTGCCCCCAACTACTGGTGAGTGCACGTGTACGCGTGTGTTCACGTGTGTGGACTGGGACGGGGGGGGTATACATTTCTGTGTGTGCAAGCAGGGGGACATGGGAGGTGCAGCAACGGGAGGTGTGTACATGTGTCTGTCTGGGTGGATGTGTGGGGAGTGGGACCCATGTATACACGTGTCTTGTGTGTGCGTGCAGGGGATTCTGGGGGGTTGTGCAGTGAAGGGAGATGTGTGCGTGTGGAGTTGGACGTGCCGGGGAGGGTATACGTGTCTGTTGTGTGTGCATGTGGGGGGGTGTAGTGATGGGAGGTACATGTGTCTGCGCATGTGTGCAGGGGTACTCTGGGGGCTCTGTACACATGTGTGGGTGTGTACAAGTGCGTGCGCACATACGGGAGCCATGTGGAACACTGGGGGGCCGTGTGGAGTGAGTGTGCCTACTTTGTGGGGCAATGCAGTCAGAGGAGTGCATGTGCACGTGGGCGAAGGGGCATCCCGGGGCTGACACGCATGTACATACGAGCACAGGGACCTTCTGGGGCTGTGCCATGACTGTGTGTGTGTGTGTGCGCATGCGCGCGGCCACATGGGAACCCTGCAGGGCCGTGCCAGGTGGGGATGTGTGTGCACACATGTGTGCCCCCATTGGAGTATCCCCTCCTCCAGTCCCCACGTGCCCCAAGCACCCCAGCCCTGAGATACAGCCACCGCTGGGGCAGGGCATGGGGGTTGTTAGTGCCGCACCCCTCCCCCCCACCACCCTGCCTCAGTTTCCCCTGCCTCCCTCCTCAGCGACCAGATGGGCAACAAGGGCTCCTACATCCACCTGCGAGGCGCCGACCTGCGGCCCGAGTTCCACCAGTTCACAGCAGTGGTGAGTGACCCCCCGCCCCCTCAACCCGGCCACCGGGTCCTCTGGCCCTTTAAGGCTCCTGCAGCTGAGTCTGGGGGGGAACGCCCCGCACTAACAGCCTCTCCGTCTCCCACAGCCTCACCCCAACGTCAAGCCGATGATGTACGCCAACACATTGCTGCAGCTGGGCATGATGTAGCCTCCCCGTCTCCCTGCCGTGCCCCCCCGGCCAGGCCCCAGCCTGAGGGGGCAATGTCGTTAGTTTTTTTTAATATATTGGACAGATTATATTTATTCCCAGGCTCCTCTTGCCCCCCACCCAGCAGAGGGGCAGCTGGAGGGGGGGCCAAGCC